ATGCTAAGTGAAAGAAGCCAGTCATCAAAGACATATTTTATGATTCCATTCACAGGAAATGTCTAGAAGAGGCAAATCCACATATACAAAAGTAGATTAGTGGCTGCCAGGGGTTGAGGGGTGTGAGGAGTTGGGAGGATATAGGGAGTGACTATTAATGGGTACAGGGTTTCTTGTTGGATTAATAAAAATGTTCTAAAACTGATTTTGGTTATGGTTGTATAACTCTGGGAATATACTGAAAGTCACTGAAGCGTACATTTTAAAAATGGACAAATTGTATGGTATGTGAATCATATCTCGGTAAAGCTGTTAAAAAATAGTAGGAAAAATCTGGATACGTAATTCACCAAATTAATAGATTAAGGAGAAAAAACACAATCATCTCAATAGATGAAGAAAAGGCATTCAATAAAATTCCACAACCATTTGTGAAAATAACTTCAGAAAATGAGAAATTGCAAGGAATCTGCATAATCTAATAAACAGAATTTTCTGTGTAATAAACAGATGTAAGAGTAAACATCTTACTTAAATTGTGAAACATTAAAAAAGATTCCTTTTAAAGTCAGGAGCAAGATAAGAATGCCATATGACATATACAGTCCATAACATTTTGCCCTATTTCCTTAGTGACAAAAATTCTAATTTTGTTCAGGACAGTAACTCCTCAGTTGAAAAGCTACATTTCCCAGATTCCCTTGCAGCTAGTAGTATATGCCATAATTCTGGCCAATAATAAATTAGAAAAGCATGCTGAGGATTTCTGGGAAAGTTTTTTTTTCTCCTGATATTAGTCCTTCCTCCTTTTACTTCCTTGGATGAAATGTCTGGAGCTGTGGTGGTTATCTGTAAGAACAAAAGCCAAATGCTCAAGGACAGTCAAAGAGATACAGAATGATCTTCAGACACTGATGACAGTGTGGAGCTGGCTTCATGTTACATGAGAAAAGTACACCCCTATCATTTGGGTTTTTAGTTACACACAGGTTAACACAAACCTAACCAGTTTTAGCTTGCTGTTCTTCTTCAGCATATTACTGAAGGTCCCAATGTATATGGTGTATGAGAAAAATAAAGAAAGGGACAAGGATTTGAAAGGAAGAAAGAGCTTACTTTTTAATGGTTCAGTAAAAAAAAAATATATCAAATGTGGCAAAATGTTAACAACCGGTGAATCTACTACATAAGAGTGTTCAGAGTTGAAATTTTTCAAAATAAAAATTTAGAAAGGAAAATACTAATGAGCAAAAAAGAAAAATAAATTCTATATATGACAAAATGTGCCATAAACAAAAGAAAGAGACAGGAGACAGTCTGGAAGAAGTTATCAGTAAAGGAGTAGAAAGAGATTAGCTTCCAGAATGCATGAAGAACATTTACAAATCCTGCAACTCAACAATCAAAAGACAAGCAAACCTAATAGCAAAATAGGCAGATGATATGGATAGACACTCATGGAAAATGAAACCCATTATGTCCAATAAACAGATAAAAAGATACTGAATGTACTAATCTGGAAAATGCAAATTAAAACAAGAAGATACCACTTCATACCCATTATACCGGCAAATTTCTTTAAGACTGAGCACAGAGTTGTTGACGCAATTGTGGCATATAGGAACTCTCAACCAGTGATGGGAGGGTGAACAGGTCCATGCACCGTAAAGTACACATTGACAGCATCTAACAGTCAGAGATGTACACGATACTCAGCAATGCCTTTCCTAGTTATAATCCCTGGAGTAGCAGCAGGTCCATTTTCACAGTAATACTAAGACATCGTTTGGCTTTTTCATTTTCATTCTTTCATGAGTGTTCAGTGAAGTTTTCCAGAGGCTCATGACATATGTTAAGCAGACTGACTACAGAGGCAAATATGAGAATCCAGCTATATTCTATTAATTCAGACACTAAAAGATTTCCAAAAATGTCAAAGCAATACCACTCTTCTCACTATTATTTTTTTGTTTCATTAAAAATGTTATAACATGTAGTTGGCTTTTTATTAAATTTTTTAAATGATTTAATAAATATATAATTTAAACATTTCTCAGTTTTAATATTCAATGCAGTAAATATCGATAGCTATAACTTGCATAAAAGCCATTTGGGGTCCTCAATAATTTTTTTAAAGAGTGTTAAAGAGGTTCTTAGACCAAAAAGTTTGAGAACCACTGCCCCGGAGAAACTATCATACATGTATACCAGGAGACATATACAAAAATCTTCATTACAACACTGTAATAGCAAAAGAACTGCAATCAACCTAAATGTTCATCAGAAGATAAAAATGATAAACTGTATATTCTTACAATAACTATAAAGCAATTTAAAGGAATGGTTAAATACCACAAATGTTGAATTGAAAAAGTACCCACTGAAGGATACATACAATATGATACCATGTATATAGTTTTAAAACACAAAATTATACTATATATTATTATTTAGCTATATATATTTAGTGAAAGTAAAAAATAAAAATGTATGGAAATGATAAAAGCAAAAATCACTGTAGAAAATTACCTCTGGCAAGGAAGAGAGAGAAATGAATGGCAGAGAGGAAGGACAGGCAGGAGCATTCAATTATATGTGGAATGTTTATCTCTTAAGTAGATAGTAGAAACACAGGCATTCATTATATTATTCCCTATAATTTTTTGTATTATTGAAATACATCATAAGTTAAAGTTACGAACTCTGAATAGAAGGGAGACACCATAGGACCAGATGAAGGATTGAAAATCAAGGGTAACAGGTTTGATTTAGGTTTCAGGCTAGGAAACCAGAAAAATATCAATGCATTAGCTCAAGTTTAGGATGTCAGCATGAAGAAATAGTCTGTGAAAAGGGTAGATATGGGTATTTAGACACACTAGCTTGAGAAGCAGAGACGACAACAATCTTAGAGAGTAGTAAATTCAGGGAAGGTGTTTAGGGGATCAGGGCCAGAGATACAGATTTAGGACTCACTGAATAAAGATGGAAAATTTGAGAACAGATGAAATCTCACACACACACACACACACACACACACACACACACACACACACACACAGGAGAGATAAAGGAAGATGTGGGTGTGGAGAAGCTTATCCAGAGAGAGCAGAAAAGAGAGCTTGAAAAACACTGACACTAAGGACGGGGTGGAGAAGAGAAAGGAGAGGCTGGTGGAAGAAAACAAGTTCTCAGAAAGGTAAGAGAAGGAATCTGGGTCAGGTAGGCAAACATTCTAGAAGAGATGGTATAAAAAGGTTCACAGAGCTCTTCCTCATGTGAAGACACAGCGAGAAGGCTCTGGCTATGCACCAGGAAGACAGCGTTCACCAGAACATGACGACGCTAGTTCCTCAATCTTACACTCCGCAGCCTCCAGAACATCTATCTTACAGGAGCTCAGGGGGACCACAAATCCAATTTGTAGTCATTCTCCCTGATTCTGGATGTATGGGCCACATATACTCAACACTGGAACAATCTCCACATTGGTTCCCTGACCCATAGAGCAAAAGCCATTATGGACTTCATGATGACTCACTATACTGCTAACATGCTAAGAGAACACGCTGAGCTGGGAACAACAAATTCCTTATACGTTGGCCATGAAAGTACATCAAGCAACACTCAACAGTACTGGAAGGAAAAAGAGATGAATCTACGATGATTTTAATATTTTGACACTATTCTCTTAAAATTGAGGGAAGTAGACCCAAAATCTGTGGGAAAGAAAAGACTTGAACAACACTAACAGGCGACTGAACCTAATTTACATTTATGAAATTACTTTACCACCAACAGAATACATGTTCTTTACAAAGGTGCACATTAACAGTAAAGAGACCATGTGCTAAACCATAAGACAAATTTCAATAAATTTAAAATTATGCAGTGTTAAAAAAATGAAAAAAAAAAAAAGAAAGAAAAGCAGGTTCAAGAAATAAGGCACAAAAAAGTGATGGACATTTGACATCAAATTTTATGAATATATGCGATAAAAGTTTTATAAATAATCTGTCGTCCACTTCCGCAAAAGCAACAATGATAAAAAACTAAATTGCAATAAGAGAATTTGATTAAATATTTTTAAAAAGGTTCAAAGACAATGAGGAGTAAGATGACATTACTGGATTATATTTGTGCAATTTCAGTTCAGACCGAGAACCTCCGGAAAGTTTGCCAATTTCAGGAAGCCAATATCAATGAATCCCACACCTTTCTGACCACTCCTCTTTCATCCACCCGTTCATTCCAACAAATACTGATTGAGTATCTTGTATGTGAGTACTAAGGATACAATAATGAATGTCTCTGTCTTTATGGTGCTTAGATCATAGACTTTAATCAACTATTCACACTGATGAATGTAAAACCACAACTATAATGAATGCTATCAATGAGAGGTACATGGAGCTCTGAGATTAATTGTTAACTCCCCTCCCCTTTCAGAAGCATATATTGTGTCTTCCTGATTAGATTCTATGCCCCACAGCGCATACTTTTTATGCTTAGACTGTCCATTTTCTTTTGATATTTTCTCTAAGTGCCAGGCATAATGCTTCAGAATAATGGGTATCCGGTATATGCTTAATTATGTACTATGTATCTGTAACTGGATGCTTCAGATTTTATAATAAATGTGTCCTACTGTATGGAACGGCTATGATAATTTTTTAAAAAATACCTCACTATTGGTGTTAAGGAGCCCAAAAGCAAAGTGCAAGCCTTGAAAATGTTAGTTTAGTGTCCTCCACCTGCATCCCAAGCAATTACCTTGAGAATGCTTAGGATTATTCTCAGAGGGGAAGCATGAAAGGATTTGCACGCAACATTCTCACCTCTAGAAAGACAACTCAGAAAAGAGTACCAACAATATCACATTACAATGCTGTAATGTTATTTTTGTAAATAAAAAGCAAAACATTCATCATAAGGCAACTGGCCATGACAAGAAAAATACAGTTCAGTGGTAATCAAGAAGCAGCCTCACAACTACTTAC